CTGTCTGGCGATCCTTGCTTGCACGGGCAGCAAGATAAGAGATTGAGGTGCCACAGGGGAGAGGAGCCAACCGACGCTACCCCTTTTTTTTTTTTTTTTTGGGGGGGGGGGGGGGGGTTGGGTGTTAGTCTGCTAGGGTTTTCTAAGGCTTCAGTCTAGCTTCTGTGGAGGGTTCAGGAACTTCGGGCTCTGAGGTTCTGGCAGCCCGGAACACCTGGGGCGTGAACAGGACCCTACTCCAGTCCAATGTCCGACATTTTGAGTCGAATTGCGTAGCAATCACCAACCCACAGCCCACCCTAAGAATGAAGCCCTAAGTCGACAGTTCAAGTAACCAGAACGGCGCGAAGCGTGCGTAGGCACACGCCCGGCAGTCTCTAGCGTGCTGGAAAAACTGGCCTGCATGAGAATCTGAACTTCTGAATACAGTTGGTTGGCAATGATATATAAACCCTATAAACCCTATAAACCCTATAAACCCTATAAACCCTATAGACCCTATAGACACTACATATATACACATGTGTATACACCCAAAAGAGTATAAACCCGACAAACTCAAGCATGAGACCCCAAGCCACCTCCCTCTGTGTACGGCAGGTCAAGATGCCTGGACCCTCCTACCTCTAAGGGTCGAAATAATTAGAATAGGATTTTTTGTTGGGTTTAGGGTTTAAGGTTTAGGGTTTAGGGTTTAGGGTTTAGGGTTTAGGGTTTAGGGTTTAGGGTTTAGGGTTTAGGGTTTAGGGTTTAGGGTTTAGGGTTTAGGGTTTGGGGTTTGGGGTTTGGGGTTTGGGGGGTATAGTTATAAAGGGGCCATAAGGGAATACTATTGCTGCGTCTTCAAGAGCTCGTGCAGAGGCTTGGGCGACCAAAGGCAATCCTTAGGGTTTAGGGGTTTGAGGGCTTTGGATTTGAACCCTGAGATAGGGTTTTATGATCCGCTGGACTATCATCTCAATTTCGAGGTTCATTGCTCGGGGCTTCTTGTGGAGGGTCCAACGAATTTCTCTGCTGCCGCTTGGGGTCGTCGGGCTTGGCCCGACGAACTTTGCACCAGACCGGGCGCTCTTCAGCGGAACTAACACCTAAACGCCGATAAATCCTCTAAACCCGCATACATCGCCTATAAACCCTCTAAACCCGCATAACACCCCATGAACCGCCATAAACCCTATAAACCCCATAAACTTTAAACCATATAACCCCCTAACCCTGTACCATGAACCCGAGAACCCGACAAACCACACAAACTCTGCAAACCCCCTGGGTGAACCCTAAACCCAAAGCCCCGAACCCTAAACCCTAAACTCTAAACCCTATAAACCCAATAAACCCTAAAACCCTATAAAGCCTTTTTGCATCCAGGTCTCTTGCAGCCAGCCCGGTAGACTAGTAGAGTTCACCCTATAAAGCCTAAAACCCTAAACCCTAAAAACCCTAAAAACCCTAAAAACACTAAAGACCCTAAAATCCCTAAAAACCCTAAATACCCTAAAAACCCTAAAAACCCTAAAAACCCTAAAAACCCTAAACCCTAAACCCTAAACCCTAAACCCTAGCCGCAGGTTCGAGCGCGCTTTTCTACGGTCTAACTCTCAAGAGACATTCCACGCGGCCAGCCGCAGAAAAAATCAGAGCCTGAGATGGGCTTCAGGGCTTTCTGGCGTTAAGGCTTCGGGGCTTTGAGGGTTTAGGCTTTAGGGTTTGTGGATTAGAGTTTAGGGTTTAGGGTAATGGGTTTAGGATTTAGGGTAAGGGTTTAGGGTTTAGGGTTTAGGGTTTAGGGTTTAGGGTTTAGGGTTTAGGGTTTAGGGTTTAGGGTTTAGGGTTTAGGGTTTAGGGTTTAGGGTTTAGGGTTTAGGGTTTAGGGTTTAGGGTTTAGGGTTTAGGGTTTAGGGTTTAGGGTTTAGGGTTTAGGGTTTAGGGTTTAGGGTTTAGGGTTTAGGGTTTAGGGTTTAGGGTTTAGGGTTTAGGGTTTAGGGTTTAGGGCTTTAATGCTTTAAGGCTTCGGACCCTCTCGGTCCCTTCTTGCCTCGCTTAGGCTTTGGGCTTTGGGCTTTAGGCTTTAGGCTTCGGGCTTTGAGCTTTAGGCTTTGGGCTTTGGGCTTTGGGCATTGGACGGTAGTCTTTAGTCTTTAGGCTTTAGGGTTTGGGCTTTAGGGTTTAGGGTGTAGGGTTTAGGCTTTGGGCTTTGGGCTTTGGGCTTTAGGCTTTGGGCTTTAGCCTTTGGGCTTTAGCCTTTGGGCTTTTGGCTTTGGGCTTTAGGATTGAGGCTTTGGGGTTTTTGGTTTAGGGTTTGGGCTTTAGGCTTCAGGCTTTGGGGGTTTTAGGCTTTAGGCTTTAGGGTTTAGGCTGTAGGGTTTAGGCGTTGGGCTCTAGGCTCTAGGCTCTAGGCTTTAGGCTTTAGGGTTTAGGGTTCGAAAGCAGGGGTACCCAAAAACAAAGTGGAGCCCCTCATTCGATCGATGATCAACCTCCTGCCAAAAGAACGTGCAACACAGCAACGCAACAGACACGGCTAGAAGCATCCTGGTCGCCTCTCTTCGGCACAGGTCACGACCCCTCACCACAATGCCTCTTTGAAGGGGGCCCTAAACCCCTTACCCCTTACCCTAAACCCTAAAGCCTTCTTGAGACTGCATAAACCAACCCAAGCCCTAGCAACCCAAAAGCGGGCAAGCCAGGTCAGACCGCAGGGCCCAAGGAACTAGGGGTTTAGGGTTTATGGTTTAAGGTTAGGGTTTAGGTTTTAGGGTTGTTTGTGGTTTAGGCTTAGGGTTTAGGTTTTAGGGTTTAGGGCTTAGTCTTTGTGGTTTAGGGTCTCGGGTTTAGGGTTAGGGTTTTCAGGCTGTTATTAGCGTGTGGGGTTTCGGGTCTAGGGCTGATTAGGTTTCAGGGTAACCACAAGCCGCTCTAAACCCGCAAGCCCACAGCCACGGGCAAAAAATCAGACACCCTAAACCGTAAACCCTAAACCCTGAACCCTAAACCCTAATCCTAAACCCTAAACCCTGAGCCCTAAAGCCGAAACCCTAACTTCACGGCGGAGGCGCGCGGCACACGGGGCGCTCAGGACAACCTCGCCTTCTTGTTGCTGTGCCCATTCAGCTGACCTTGCTTCTCTGGGCTTAGGGGTTTGGGTTTAAGGGTTTAGGGGTTTAGGGTTTAGGGTTCGGGCTTCAGGGGTTCAGTGGTTCAGGGGTTCAGGGGTTCGGGGTTTAGGGTTTAGGGTTTAGGGTTTAGGGTTTAGGGTTTAGGGTTTAGGGTTTAGTCCTCTAGGGCCGGGTCGGGTTTAGGGCTTGGGGGTGGTGGCCAGAAGGCCAAAGTTCTGCTAGACTTTGCAAATCTCCCACCCAGAATCCCAGGCTAAACCCTAAACCCTAAACCCTAAACCCTAAACCCTAAACCCTAAACCCTAAACCCTAAACCCTAAACCCTAAGCCCTAACCCATGGATAACGTCGAAGTACCGCTCTCCCACCTTAACACTGTGAAATGCCCCTCCAAAAAGATCAGTTACCCTAACCCTAAACCCTAAACCCTAAGCCCAAAACCCGAAACCCTACACCCTAAACCCTAAACCCTAAACCCTTTTTCTTTTTCTTTCCAAAACGATCAACTACCCTAAGCCCTAAAGCCTTTTTCTTGTTCTACACCAAGCCGGCACCGAGCCACTCAAGCTTGCCGCAGCCTCGAAGTCCACTGTGCCTCGGCATCAGGGCTGAAGGGGCTTTGTAGGGTTTAGGGTTTAGGGGTTAGGGCGTTTTAGGGGTTCAGGATGTAGGATGTAGGACTTCGGATGTAGGGGGCTGAAGGGTTGGTTCAGGATGTGCGGGGTTGAATCCAACACGCTTGGACAAGCCAGGCCAGGGACATACTAGTTGGGAGGCGAGTCGAGTGACCATGTAGGGTCTGGGGCTTAGGGTGGTGCATTTTGGGCCTAAACCCTTAAACCCTTAAACCCTTAAACCCTTAAACCCTTAAACCCTAAACCCTAAACCCCTAAACCCTGTTTTTACAACAGGCCTGAGTTTACCGCAATCCGGTTCCAGCATCACACTCACCACTGCAGAGCGAGCGTGGGGCCCTACGTGCTAAGCCAAGGCTTTCTGGGTTTACGGTTTATGAGATTAAGGCTTCCTTAAACCTTAAAACCTACACCATAAACCTTAAACCCTAACCCCTAAACCCTAGACCCTCTAGACCAAGGCTTCCTTTTACAAAGAGGGGCTCAAGCGTGGTTGGCGCGGTTTGCCCTGAACGCTGCTTGTTTGGGGGCTTTTAAACCCTAAATCCTTTTAAAACACAGACCCTAAACTCTACACCCTTGCAAGCAAGACTCCGGAGGCAGGATTTGGGCGTTTAAGGTTTAGGGTTTGGGGGGTTTAGGGTTCAGGGATCCTTCTGCAAGCCGTACATTCCTAAGCTTAAGCATCTTTCCCAGACGCCCATTTTCCCTCAACCCTCGCAGCCCAGAATCAGGCACTGATGGCAGAGCTTTGCACTAATGCCTACCTTGAGCTCCTTCTACCCACCACTTAGGGTTTAGGGTTTAGGGTTTAGGGTTTAGGGTTTAGGGTTTAGGGTTTAGGGTTCAGGGTTGAGGGTTTAGGGTTTAGGGTAGCCAGGGAGCTGAACAGGTCGTCCATGGTCTCGGCTCGACGAATTTTCAGGACGGAGCCATCTGTCCTGATGGTGGGGGGGGGGGGTTCTTCTTGAGGGCTTAGGGTTCTTTTTGTTCTTGTTGTTGAAACTTGGGGATGGATGGGCAGCTTTCTTTTTGAGGGTTTAGGGTTCCTAAACCCTACCCTAGACCCAAGCCCTAAATCCTAAAACTCGAACCCTTAACTTACCCTAACCTTGAAGGCTTCGGGTTCCGTAAACCCGAAACCCATACGCTGCATCCTAGACTCTAACCCTAAACTTACCCTAACCTTGAAATGGGATTAAAGGATGGATTCAGGACTGAAGGTGGTGGATTTCACACTTTGATTTTGACTAGACTTCGTACCTGATCGTCGTCCTTGGAATGTGCAACCGTGCGAAACCCATCCATCCCTTCTGCGGCAAGAGGAAAGCCTTCAAGTCAGTTCCCGGATCAAGAGCTTACAGTTGGGATGCTGATTTCAATTCCGAGTAAGGACTGATAGTACAAGGGGGAACATTCCAAGTCACAGTCTTAAGAGGCTTTAAAGGAAGTTGCCTGTCAACAACGTGGTGCAGGGACTTTTGCGCCTCCTTAAGAACACCCAGAGGCTTACATGTTTCGGCCTCGGGTGCCCAGGCCCCAAATCTAAACCCCTAGAAAGTCAAAAAACTTTCAACGGCCCCCAACATAAGAAATCACAAACAACAATGCACTCAATGTACCCAACAAAAGCTGAGCACAAAACCCTAAACCGCAAACCCTAAACCCTAAACCAGGGCCTGTACAAGTACTCCGCAGAGCGTGGCTTTCCGTTGTAGTTGAAGCCCATGGAGTGCCTTTGTTTGAGCATCAGGTGTTTAGGGTTTAGGGTTTAGGATTTAGGGGTTTAGGGCCTAGGGGTCAGGGTTTAGATTTAGGACGTTTAAGTAGAATCGTCCTCGGCTCTTTAGGGCTTAGGTTCCGGAACTTCGCTACCTCCCCTCCCAACCCTCAGAAGTCAAACCTCAGCGAACAAGCGGCCAAAACACACATACACACACACACACACACACACACACACACAATACCCTCAAAGAAGACCCCTCACATCCGATCAAAACCCCAAGTACCTCTAAGCCCTAAACCCTCTCAAGCTCTGCATCCCACACTCGAAGCTCTTCATCTCTGCTTTTTGAATCCCTACACCCCGCGCCCTATAAAGCCTTAGAACCCTGAAACTCTAAATACCCAACCTATAGGCACATTTGCCCTAAACCCTTAGCCCAGCCAAAACCCTTAAGCCCTCAAACAATGTGGCCCATGACCCTCTCCCCTCGAGGCTGCGAATATCCGAAAGCACGTACTCTTGGCAGAAGCTAGACACCCTTTTGCACTTAACAGCAAAGCCAAAGCCTTAACACCCTGAAAACAACTAACTCTCTGCAAGCGGCCCGTGAGCGCCCGCGTCGTGGATGATGGCGACATCGCCGGGCTGGGGGTCGATGTTCAGCTGTCGGTCGATGGCGAACTTGTCCTCAAGGGTTTAGGGTTTAGGGTTTAGGGCTTAGGGTTCAGGGTTTAGGGCTCCGAGTTGAGGGCTTAGGGCTTGAAGGCTTGCAATTTGGGAGAAGGGTCTAGAGTTTAAAGGCCTAAGGTGTTTTGGCTTGAGGGTTGATTACTCGTGCTTGCGGGCTTCTAGAGTCACGAGCTTTACGGACCATGGTGCAAGTATAAGTGTCACAAGCTAGGGCATTCTAAGGCCATGTAAGCATAGTTTGCTTTGTAAGAAGTGTCTGCCCTCTACACCGTTGTCTCGTGCTGAATGGCGTGAGCAACTACTGTTCGCTTGTCTGAGCCTCATACCATCAAGCTAAACTTGGGATGTTCCCCCTTATACTAACAGACCCTATACCCTAAACCCTAAACCCTAAACCCTAAACCCTAAACCCTAAACCCTAAACCCTAAACCCTAAACCCTAAACCCTAAACCCTAAACCCTAAACCGATCAGAGGATGTACCATAATCCCGACTAAGGACTGTTAGTATGAGGGTGAACATTTCAGGGCTGAATCGGCCTTGAATGGCCCTTCAGAAGGCCAAGATCTTTGGACAAACTGCTCAACAGGCTTCAGGGTTTAGGGTTTTTAGGGTTTAGGGTTTAGGGTTTAGGGTTTAAGAACTCGGGTTTCGGGTTTTAGGGTACAAATCGGAGGCAGCGCCAAGGTGCGTTGTTTTCACAAAGTCCACCAACCACATCGTAGATGCCAGACTTCGTGATGAGGTCCTACCGTGCTTGTTGCAAAAAGGTTGAAAAGGGGTTGAGGGTTTAGGGTTATAGGGTTTAGGGTTCTAGGGCTCGAACCCTAAACCCGTTTTTTTGCAAACAGGTCTCTCTCAAGTGCCTCAAAACCCTGATTCCACAGCCCTACCTCCGTCCGATTAGAAAACATGGCTTCCCCGAGTATGTTGTGGGAGGCTGTGAGACCATTTGATTAAACAACAAAATGGAATTTGGATAGATGGATGAGCGATTTGACTCTTAAACACCACGACACACATAGAACCTGCAAGCATATGCGGGTTCCATGTTAGTCTGGCTGGAAGTGGATGAGAATCTGGTAGGGTCGTGGAGCTCAAGAATCAGCATTTCTAGTTTTATGTTTTTTCATTTTTGCCAGACTTTCAATATGTGGTTCCATGTTAGTTGTTACCATATTTGGTCGTGGGTTTTTCGCCATTGTTGCACGAAGTGCACCCCGGACTCAAACCTCTTAGCTACAAGCTGCTGCATATGTAAACCCTAAACCCTAAACCCTAAACCCTAAACCCTAAACCCTAAACCCTAAACCCTAAACCTGTCCATGGCGCAGGTTAAGGCTCCACATATTGGTGGTGCCCCTACACGAACATATGGGCAGCTCCCTCAACTAGGCTCCCTTTTTCGGGGCCTTTGTACAAGGTGCCCTACCATATGGGCGAGACACAAAACAGGCGACACAATGTTCAGTACCCCATATGATGGGTAGGGGTAGCCTATGGGTCAACCCCGATGCAAGAGCCCAACGTTTAGCCCTTCCTGCTCGTGCTTCTGGTTGATCGATACTGACCAGGCAATGGATTCGTGGTCTCGCACTTATGCCGGGCAGCGCAGCTCTTTTTAAACCAGGAAACTCTGACGTGTCTCGACCGTATGAACCCTGGCCCCAGCCCCCAAGCCTTCCCCCAAGCCTTCCCCCTAAACACACTCCATAGTTGCGGTGTACACTTTCAGTTCTATAGGGAATTCGAGTATCCCAAAAAGCGTAAAGTGTGCTCCCTCAGCTACTAAGAACTCTGTCAAGAACCACCCCTCCCGACCACAAACATGTCCTTGCTGTTGTCCGGCATGTCGGCGTCCTGGTGAGACATCCGTTGCCGAAGTTCAGAGCAGTTCTTCATGCGAAGGAGTTCAGGGTTCAGGAGATTGGGGTTTCTTGCTAGCCTGTCTTGGCGTGTGGTCCCTTTGAGGGCAAACCATGTCAAAACAGTCCCTGACCACCCTGGCTTTCCCAAGCCCTGAGAGTCACAGCCGCAAGACGTGCAACTGAAGAACGAGCCCAAAACCGACTGACTTCTCAGACCCAAGTAATACAGATTCAGACCCCATCGGACCCTAAAACCCCCCAAGGATATACACACTGAGGATATACACACTGAACCCCAAACCCTTCCCAGCCGCATTTGCACTTCTGGGCACCTTCTTGGGAAGCCCTTCCACCGGTTCTGGGTTTCGCACGACCTGGCGAGTCTGCGGTCGAAGTTGAGGGTTTAGGGTCTAGGGTTTGGATTTTTGGATTTAGGGGTGATAAGTCCCCCCAGAAGCTTCCGGAAAAAATCACGGGGTTTATAAGGGTCCCCTACACAGCTGCAAACGTGAAGTTGTCAGGGATGTTGGGTTCAGGCAATTGAACTAGGGTGAAGAAATGTTGGGGCATCTTTGTTTCAAGTGTGCTTCGTGTAGGGATCAGGCTTCAGCCCTGGACCCAAGAGTAACCTAGGAAAAAAGTGACCCTAAACCCTAAACCCTAAACCCTAAACCCTAAACCCAAGAGTAGCCTAGGAAAAAAGGTGGGCACCCAAGTTGTTTAAAGGGCCTTGGAAGGGAAGAGAAGCCCGACCAAAAAAGGGAAACTAATGGCCTGCTCTGGATCCCAGCCCTAAGCCCCGAACCCTAAAAAATATAAAAGGGAAGCAGGGCCTACTCCGGGTTTAGGGTTTAGGGGGTTTAGGGGGTTTAGGGGGTTTAGGGGGTTTGGGGGGTTTAGGGGGTTTAGGGGGTTTAGGGGGTTTGGGGGGTTTAGGTGGTTTGGGGGGTTTAGGGGGTTTAGGGGGTTTGGGGGGTTTGGGGGGTTTAGGGGGTTTGGGGGGTTTGGGGGGTTTGGGGGGTTTAGGGGGTTCAGGGGGTTTAGGGGGTTTAGGGGGTTTAGGGGGTCTAGAGGGTTTAGGGGGTTTAGGGGGTTTAGGGGGTTTAGGGGGCTTAGGGTTTTAGGACCTTCTTATGTAAGATGTGCCCACGAGCTCAAGTTCCACCACATTCGCAGCCTGAAAAGCCCTCTCCAGGCCCTGACAGCTGAAGTTGTTCAGCTTCCGTCCTAAACCCCAAACCCCAAACCCCAAAACCCCAAACCCTAAACCCTAAACCCTATAAACCCTAAACCCTAAAGACCGAAAAATGGGATGTTCCCCCTTCTACTAGCAGTCCTCAATAGGGATGAGAATCGGGGGTACAATAATCCCGATGAAGGACCATTGCATGCCAGGCAACGGTGATGTGATGGTAGGCGTTGTACATGCCAGGGCGCATGAGGTTGGCCTCAGAGCGTAGGGTTCAGGCTTTATGTCTGTGATCAAGTTGGGCAAGACTCATTTTTCTTGGCCAACAAAGCACACACACATTAAATTTCAGGGGTGGAGTTCAGGCAAAAACAGAATTAACAGCAACCCTGAACTAAACCCCAACCCCTAAACTTTAACTCTGGAGCCCAAAACAGACTAAACCCTTCCCTTACCTTTCTAAGTCTGCCCAGGCCGTGCCCGCAGAGCTCTGCTCAATGCTAAGAACAGCCAGGAATCAAATGATAACCCCTAAATCTTTTCATCCGAACACTTCAGCCATCATGTGCCGCTTGAGAAATATAGAACAACCGGCCAATTCACACTTTTTGGGGGATAGCATTGGGAAACTTTCTAGCCACTGAGGAAAACAGCCACCCTAAACCCTAAACCCTAGACCCAAAAGCCCTTGTCTAAGTGGTAGGAAGACAAGTTTACCTACCTCTGGAGCAAACCCAGGAAAAAAAGTACATACTTTTTAGGTGTAAGTAGCTGTAATGGGAACCCAAAACCAAAAAAAGTATTAAAGTATAGTACTCCAAAGCCCAGTTTAGGGGTTTAGGGCTTCATGAGCCGGGTAGCCTTCCAAAACCTCACCGACATCACAAGAGCGGTCTCAAGATTTCGCAAGCTTCACAACATCGGGAGCCCTCAGCCCTTTTGACCCCGCGAGCTCTGCCGGAGCCCTAAGCCCTACACCCTGTTCCCCTAACTTTAGGGTTTAGGGTTTAGGGTTTAGGGTTTAACAACTCTTTGCTGCAGGCTTGCGGCCTGCACCTTGAAACTCTAAACCCCAAACCCTGTGCTGCAACAACGGCTTAACCCAAAGAGGGACACTGCCTTGTGGACCCAAATGAGCCATTAAAAGAGCATATGGTTCATATACCTTCATAGGGATCATCCCCAATTTTGGCGGTCATTTGGTCCCCAAGGTGTTTAGGCCCCAGGCCATGCATGCATCAACGCCCACGTAGTTCTTGTAGATCTTCCTCCATACCCGATTCAGGGTTTGGATGCCTTCAACCCCCCGATGCACTTCTTCACGCGGTTCTTGTGAAGTTCTGCAGCGCAGTGTTAAGGGATGTCGGGGACCAAATGAACCCGAAAAAGGCTGAGGTTTAGGGTTTGGGTTTAGAATTCATGTACATAGAAGTTCTAGAAGTATAGGGTATATGACCCCAATTCTAGGGTTGAATTTGGTCTCCAAGGTATTGGGGGTTTAGGAACGAGGAGGCTTATGCACTTTCATTCAGCTTGGCGTAGGTGTGTGTGTGTGTGTGTGTGTGTGTGTGTGTGTGTGTGTCTGTGTGTGTGTGTGTGTGTCTGTCTGTCTGTCTGTCTGTCTGTCTGTCTGTCTGTCTGTCTGTCTGTCTGTCTGTCTGTCTGTCTGTCTGTCTGTCTGTCTGTCTGTCTGTCTGTCTGTCTGTCTGTCTGTCTGTCTGTCTGTCTGTCTGTCTGTCTGTCTGTTGTCTGTCTGTCTGTCGGTGTGTGTGTCCTTGTTTTGATATCTTAACATTTACTGATTGCGTACTCTAGATTGTTTATTACTTGTTTCTTTTCTTTTCTTCTTGTGTTTTTTTTTTTTTTTTTTGGGGGGGGGGGGGGGGGGGGGGGGGGGGGGGGGGCGGGGTGAGGGGGCGGGTTTAGGTTCTTAAGGCTTAAGCCTTGAGGTGGAGAGAGGGGATTCACCTCTTCGTGTCATTATGCCCTAAACGGACCCAGGCACCTTGTGTATAGGAATAAGGTGAACCCCCTTAACCCTAAGCCCGAAACCCTACACCCCCCACACAGAATTCCCGCAGTCTTGCGGTGCACCACTCGCGTGAAGAGCAAGCCGCTGGGTCCTGAGGCGCAGGGGCAGATTCCCTTTCAAACCCAACGCATCCCGAAGCGATACCCTATATAAAACCTAAGCCCTAAACCCTACCACACAAAACCCTAAATTCTTAAAAAAACTCTAAACCCTAAACTTTCCCTAAACCCCAAACCCCAAGAAAACCCCTTGTATGGAACCGGCTACAAGCTTCTCTGCCCCCACCTGTGACGTATCGGCCACACTCCGTGACCACCCGGACAGCACCGAGGTTCTTGTCTGTGATCAGCTCCTCTGGGTCTCTGGGGTTTAGGGTTTAGGGTTTAGGGTTTGGGGTTTAGGGCTGAGGGTTTAGGGTTTAGGGCTTGGTTCCCTCGTGGTCTGGGGTGTGTTTAGGCCCAACGGCACCTAACATGTGCCCAAAAAGCTCGTCTCACATCCCAGGATCCCCAGCCCCGCACCACCCCGCCCCCCCCAAAAAAACAAGAGCAATACATACAGGTATAAATAACTAAATATAAATAAAAAATAAGAAAATATACATCTATATATATATGTATACGCACATCGATATATATATATATATATATAGTACATATGTATGTATAATAGAAGTTACATATATATATATATATATATGTGGTAGAAGTTACAAAAATGAAGGCTGGAGAAGGAGTCCGAGATCCTTGTAGACCTCGTGAATGCCGGCCCCCACTGATTTCACATCGATCACCGTCTCCTTTCTCGGGGCTGAAAGGGCTCCAAAATGTCGGGCCCAAGGGCTTCCAGGGAGGGTTTAGGGTTTAGGGTTTTAGGGTTTTAGGGTTTTAGGGTTTTAGGGTTTTAGGGTTTTAGGGTTTTAGGGTTTTAGAGTTTTTGGGTTTTAGGGCTTTACTCGGCGCTGTCTCTGTGTCTGAGGAACTCAGCGCGACTGCACTGCGAACCGGTACATCATCGGGACTCACCCTGCCAGCAGAACTGAAACTACAGGGCGACATTTCAATTTCACCAGCCGATCCGACAGGACATCCGAAAGAAAGGACGAGAATCTCAATGATAGATTTCTGCTTCCACGGGTTGGAGTTAGGATTTAGGGTTTAGGGCTTCTGCTTTGTGATCTGAGGGCCGCGACCGATCCATGCAAAAGACAAGCCCAGCACATTAAACTGGATCGGAAAGAGCTGTCACCCCGGAGGCCCGAGAAGCACTCCGGGCGGACCTGCAGCAATGAAGTGTCACAAGTCTCCCACACACTCTGACGGGTGACCGGCTCCGGACACACGAACTCCCATTGCTGCCAGCCATCCCGACGATGAAGTGTCTTCAGTGCCAACGCGGTCTCGCTCAAGAACAAGAAGAAAGTTTGTGAACCAAACAGGCCTTGAATGCACCGCCGATGCCAAAGACATGAAATCAACAGCTGTCGTTTCGGGTTTAGGCTTAGGGTTTGCTTGTTTCACAGAACCTTACTATAAGGGGATGAGGATTTAGGGTTCAGGGTTTAGAGTTCACGGTTTAGGTTTTAGATACAGCGTGATCCTCGAGCACACCTATCTTCTCTAAGGACGAGACCCCGATGAAATCGCACAACTCCAAAAGCTGTGCGTCTGCTGTGACCATTCCGTATATTCCACACTTATCCAGTGGCTCCGGCCAATGCGGCCAGGCACTAACTGCAATGCCAGATCCCCAAAACTCTAACGCTCGGTTTGCACTGATAGGGTTTAGGGTCTAGGGTCCAGGTCCATGACCTCTGAAATCCTGAACCAGAGATTTCGGCAAAAGGTTCTTGCCGCGAGGCATCATCGCTCGAAACAACTATATTAATTACGGGATGTCTGCATGTCGGGGAGGGGAGGCCGCTGCTGTTGGGTTTGGGGTTTAAGTTTTAGGGTTTAGGGTTTGGGGTTTCTGGCTGTTCAAGGCTTTGTGTTCGGATGTCTTGGTGATTTCTTTGCCACCCTTCTCGATTGGGATCGGAGGGTTGTTTGCAGCACTTGGGGTCGTTGGAACTTCATGAACCAACGGTGCAGAATCAATACGCTGCACGCCCCAACACTGCATCCTCTACCCTAGACACTCCAAGCCCTAACACCCAAAACACGACAGCGCCATTTTCCCTGACAACCCCCCGGGACCCCCCCCCCCCGCCCTGGGGCCCCCCCTGGGACCATCTAGCTTCGGCTGTGTCCCCATGCGGGAGCTGCAGGCCACTTCGGGCCGGCTGCTGAGGTGGTGTGCGCAAGGGTGTACGATTGAGGTGGGCCCATCGACAGAATAGGGTTTAGGGTTTTGGGTTGAGGGTAACACCCTCTCGGTTCAAAATCTTAAAGGTTGTTGGAAAGCTATCCACGAAAGCCCCTGGCCCCTCCTCCGGCACCGACTCCTCCAGCTCTGACGCGTAAACATCTAAACCGCAAGCCCAGAAAAGCTTCTGCAGAGGACAAACAAGTGTCCTGCAATCCTACAATGCCCAAACTGCAAAAGTCCGCAACTCCCGCTCTCTCGGGGTCTAGAGGCTTCAGGGATATTTCGGGTTCCAAAGGGCAACTCAAAGGGTTTCATAAGGCTTCATAGTGTTTGGGGATGTCCGGTGAGAGAAAGAGCAGCTTCGCAACTCCCCGCCCGGCTCAAAGGGCGCGTCCTAAACCCTAAACTCTAAACCCTAAACCCTAAACCCTAAACCCTAAACCCTAAACCGCGCGTCCTCGGGCCGATAGGGAATGCCGAAGCCACCGCCCAGGTTCACCAGCTCGATGGTGATGCCAAGCTTCTCCTATGGCTTGGAGGACTTCTTTGGGTGAAGCCCTATAAGCCCTGTAAGGTCCCTGGGTCTTCGGGGAATTTTGGGGCTTCCCAGGCGTTGTTCTAGGGTTTTGGGTTTAGGGCTCACCCTAAACCCTTAGCCCCAAACCCAAAACCCTAAAACCTCCCACCCCATCGTCTCCTTGATGGCCCCGACGAGGCCAAAAAGCATCCGCGCAGTCTCCAGCAACTCCTGGGCCTGGTTTAGGGTTAGGGTTTAGGGTTTAGGGTTTAGGGTTTAAGGTTTAGGGTTTAGGGTTTAGGGTTTAGGGTTTAGGGTTTAGGGTTTAGGGTTTAGGGTTTAGGGTTTAGGGTTTAGGGTTCAGGGTTCAGGGTTTAAGGTTTAAGGTTTAGGGTCTAGGTCTAGGGTTTAATTAGGGCTAGGGTTCGGGGTTTATTGAAATTATTAAGCGTTCAGGTCCGGGGAAGTTTCGAGGAGTTTCGAGGAAAGTTTCGAGGAGTTTCAAGGAGTTTCTTTTAGGATTTTTCTAGTAATTTCAAGTTACAGGGGGCTTGTGGGTTTAGGGTTTAGGGTTGAGGGTTAGGGCCAGTGTTTAGGGTTTTTGTCAGGGTTTGGGGATTAGGGGTTTAGGGCTTGGGGTTTAGGGCTTAGGTTTTGTTTTTTGGGGGGGTGGGGGTTGAGTTTAGGTTTTTGTTTTGGTTTTTTTCGCTCCCGCATAGCTGGCCGAACAGCAGGCAGGGTTAATGGTTGGTGCGACTCTGGAAAAGTTGATCTGCTAGTCTCAGTGCTTCTGAACGTCGACTACGAAAAATCTGTAGCTACTATATCCACTTGATCTAAGTAACCTGCGGGTGCCTCGCTTCCTTGCTTTGTGTGATTTGTTTGGGGTTTGGGGTTGTGGGTTTAGGGTTTTTGCCCTTGGGCTTTAGGGTTTAATTAGAGGGTTTAGGCTTGGGATTCAGGCCGTAGGGGTTCAGGGCTTTGAAACTCAGAGGCAAAACTCTACTCAGCCTACCTCTGTGAGAAGCATGTTTGGTTCATGACCGCTTGAGGAGTTCAAGGTTTCAAGATAGCAGACCCAGAGCCCTGAACGCTAAAATGCTAAATCCTTAACACCATAGACTCTCAACTTATGTTTTTACCCGACGCCCTTAAAGCACTAGAAGCCCTCAAAGTTCTAAACCCTAATTTTGCATCCTTAACTCTGAACCCTAAGCCCTGGACCCTAAACCCTACATCATAAATCCTAAACCCTAAACCCTAGACCCTAAACCCTACATCCTAAACCCTGAAAACCCTGCATCCTGAACCCTAAACCCTGATGGCCTGTTTAGTCAAAGGGTGCCTAGACTGCTTGGGGGCTGTGGGTCTGGGCTGGGGTGGCGGCGCTTGAGCACCTCTCTGTCCTTGGGCTGTCTGAGTTTTAAGTTTGGGGTTTAGGGTTTTAGGGTTTAGGGTCTAGGGTCTGGGGTTTAGGTTTACGGGTTCAGGGATAAGGGTTAAGGGTTAAGCGTTTAGGGTTTAGGGTTTTGGGGGTTTAGGGTGGGGTCGAATGTGCAATCCCAGGACTGGAGATGGGCCCCTAATATGGATCTCCCAATAGTAGGATCCCCTTACAATAAGGACTCCAATAAAGTACCCCGATCTATGGCTAACATATGATCTCACCCCCCCCCCCCCCCGGCCCCTCAAGAGAGGTCCGTTAGCTCGGTAAGCCCTAAAAAATCCCCAAAACCCTAAAAACCCTAAACCCTAAACCCTAAACCCTGAAATTCCATTTTGCTGCTCAATGCCCGTGGCTTGGCTAGGGTTTATAGGGTTTAGGGTTTAGGGTTTAGGGTTTAGGGTTTAGGGCTTAGGGTTTAGGGTTTAAGGTTTAGGGTTTAGGGTTCAGGGTTTAGGGTTTGTTTAGGGCTTAAGTCCAGTTCCCCACAAAAGGGCCCCGAACTCTGAACTGCCGGGGTTTACTGTTTTGGGAAAACGCTACACCCAAAAACCTAAACCCCGAAATCCCCTTTGGGGTTTCGGTTTTTAGGATAAACTCTACCTTAATGAGAAAGTAGTCGTGTAGGGTATATAACCCCAATTTTACGTTCATTTGGTCCCCAAGGGTTCCGATGGTACTTATTAACCAATTACAACTGTACTTCTAACTGTACTTATCGCCATATTAGGGCACTAGGCGGCTTTTAAAAGGGGTTATAGGTACAGCTATAGTTGCCCTAAACCCTAAACGTTAAACCCGAAACCCTAAACCATAACTGTTTAATAAGTACCATGAACCTCCAAGTAGGCGTGTGACAGCACATGGGCACTTCGCAATGTGGCAAAGCAAGGCGTGCGCTTTCAGGGCCGACAGGGTTTGGGGTTCAGGGTTCGGGTTACCCTAAACCCTAAACCCTAAACCCTAAACCCTAAACCCTAAACCCTAAACCCTAAACCCTAAATTCCTCCTAAACTCCTAAACCCTAAACCCGGAAACTGGCACGCTTACAGCTTCAGCGATTCGCTGATCCTTCTCCTGCTCGCGCCATCTCGCGCCAGGCCACCGCCTTGTCCCAGGCTTTCTTCAGCTCCTTGTCCGACAGGTCTTTGGGCAGGAACCTCTTGACCAGCCTGGGACTCGGTAAGGTTTAGGGTTTAGGGTTTAGGGTTTAGGGTTTAGGGTTTAGGGCTTAGGGCTTAGGGCTTAGGGCTTAGGGTTTAGGGTTTAGGGTTTAGGGTTTAGGGTTTAGGGTTTAGGGTTTAGGGTTTAGGGTTTAGGGCTTAGGGTTTAGGGTTTAGGGTTTAGGGTTTAGGCTTTAGCAGGCATAGCCCAAAAGAAAGGCTGTAGGTCAAGAGGGTCCCAGGAGCTCCTTGCCACTGGCCGTCTTATACCTGGCGCGCCAGCCCTTCTCGCCGGTTCGCCACTTCACCCCCTTCTGCGGGCCAAGGGGCTGGAAGTGGGGGAGCTCTGAAAGCCTGGGCTTGCCCTTAAAGCCGGTTTAGGGTTTAGGGTTTAGGGTTTAGGGTTTAGGGTTTAGGGGTTTAGGGGTTTAGGGGTTTAGGGTTTAGGGTTTGGGGTACTATTCCTAAATGGGATGGATCCTCCTAAAGCCTTAAGCCCAATAAAGCGTAGTAGCTACATTCCTAAATAGGAACCTCTAACATCCAAACAAAGCCTAGTAGCTACCTTCCTAAATGTAGGATCCTCTTCAACCCAAAAAAAAGCCTAGTAGCTTTTGCACTGGCACCACTTCTGTCTCGGCTGGCACGCCAAACTTCTGAGCCATCTCCCGAGCTTTTGCCTCGGCCTCCCTCTGCGTGGCAAAGTAGCCACCTTGATAGCCCCAGCAACCATCTTATGAAGACGGGCACCCTTTTTTGTTGCTCTATTAAATATATAAGGGAACCTGGAACCAACAAATGAAAAACATATCACTGGGCTACCAAGCCACAGGAGATGCCCTTCTTGGCGCGAGATGGATCTGGAAACTGGACCCTCCACTTTTGGTGCTCCTTGCTGAAAAACACGCCCCGCACAAAAGAGCCGATGGAGGTGCTGGGCTTCGAGGGCTGCAGCTTGCCCTGGCGCACCTGAATTGGCCTTTAAACCCTCTGAGAGAAAAAATGTAAATTTTTGTATGTATATCTATATTTACTTATATATTTATATAGAAGTCCCTTATAAACCCATATCAGGGAAAAGCATGTCCCAAAAGCCAACCTAGGCACCAGCTCTTCCCGGTGGGCCTTCGCCTCCTCCAGGGCAGCCTGCTCAGCTGCCTCTTCGCTGAGGCCCTGCTTCAAGAATCGCGCGACGGAGAACAAGGCAGCTCGCCTTGATAGCCCAGTAACCCTTATTTCAGTAAGGGCACCCTTTGTTTGGGGGGTTGGTTATTTTACAAGGGAAACCAGAACCAAAAAAAAGAAGGTTAAGGGTACCACTGGGCCAGCAAGTCGCTGCCTACCGCCATCGCGCCATGCGACCCTCCAGCCGGGTGTGGACCTGTTCCAGCAGATGCCTTGGATGCCACTTTGTCGATCTAGGCGCTTCATGAACCCGTCCGTTGCTTTGTCATCCGCAGCTTTGCCCGCAGGAAGATCACCACATTGCCCTTTCTCTTCGGCAGAGGGTAGCATGTCGTTGACGGCCTGCTTGATGGAAGACCAAATCGCCCCAGCAGCAGCTCCTTCAATCTCTCCCACCTTGTCTTCGAACTTCTCGATCTTCCCTTGCACAAAGTCGAGCACGTGCTCTATCGCGGAGCAGTCATACCGCTTCGTGCGCCACAAGTGCAGGGCGTGCAGCAACAGCTTCCGCACCCGCCGTTGCAGATCAGCTTTCGGACCTTGTGGCTCCGCACATGCTGTTGCCTCACTTGATCCTTCCAAGTCAAGTTCCTGGGAGACAAAATGAACCACAACAACCAGGGCTTTTATGGATTCATATTACCTTTCATAGTATAATGCATACGACCCCAATGTTGGGGTTCATTTGCGGGTTTCCCAAAATAGGGGAAAACAATTGCGGTCCTTACTATAAGGAGATCCTCCTATTCGGGGGATCTATATTGGGGGGTCCCCTAATTCCCACCCCTAAACCCTAAACCCCCTCATGGCCTTGGAGCCTTTATTTGGTCGCCAAGGTTCTCGCTGCCTCGCCTGCCTGCGCGGAGCTGCAAGTGCTGCCGCCGCTGTGTTGACGACCTCGAATAGCTGAGCCTGGCTAAGCCTCCTCAGACGTGGTAGCCCTACACCCTAAACCCTAAACCCTAGACCCTAAAACCCTAATGAACCAAAACCCTAAACCCGCAACCCTAAAACCTCAAAAAGGGCAAAAGGGGTACCAGTGGGCTGCAACAAGCCACCTCAGCGGGCACCTGGCCGCCTCCTCCGCCTGCTGGAGCCGCTCCAGCCTCTGAGCGTCATCCAGGAAACCCCACCTTGGCAGGGTTTAGGGTTTAGGGTTTAGGGTTTAGGGGTTAGGGTTTAGGGTTTAGGGTGCAGGGTTTAGGTTTAGGTTTGGGATGTTCCCTCTGATACTAACAATCCTTAATGGGGATTATGATTGGGGGTACTAGAATCCCCATTAAGGTCTGTTAGTATACGCGGGAACGCCCCCAACCACATTCTACCAAGGGCACCCTTTTTGGGAGTTGGTTACTTTATAAGGGAACCTTGAACCAAACAAAACAAAAGGGTAAAGGGTACCGCTGGGCTACCGAGCCACTCGTTCATCTTGCTGACGAGCTGCAAGTGCTGGGTAGATGCCTGAGTAGATGATTGGCTCACTTCTCCAATAACCACGGGGAAGAAAGGTTAAACTTCACTATTACTACTAAAGAAGGAAACCAAAAAAACTTAAAGTTCAAGTATTGGCAAGGTAAGTTGGTCTGCCTCAAGGTCTGAGTCTACCAGCACGACGTCGCTGTCAGGTTGCAGCCCACCTGAGTCCGTGCAGGCGCAGTCGGAAACTGCAACCACGTCTTGTGCAGCGTCGGCCGCGGCGTCCGCCTGCCTTCGGCAGCAGCGGAACTTCAGGAGACTCTTTTGGAGCCCTTGCTCCGCCACCTTCCAATTCTCGCCGACCTGTACTTTTTTTTTTTTTTTTTTTTTTCAAATTTGGGGTACCTTATTGGGGTCCGTATTCGAATTGGAGTCTTTGTTAGAGGTCCCTTATCTGCCTAACATCCCCACCTGTCTTCTTGCCAGGGCCAGCTGTAGCGCAGCCAGCGCCTCAGGAAGCACCTGGAGGTTCATGGCACTTATAACTGTACTTCTAATTATAAGCCCCTTAAGTGCCCTAATAGGGTTGTAAGTACAGTTATGTGTACAATTCTGGCTGGTTAATAAGTACCATGAACCTCCAAGCACCTCCCTCAAACGAGAAGGCAACAGCCCCGCGCCCATCTTGTCAATAAACTTCCTCAGGAGCTGTAGCTCGTCGAGGTCTGGAAGCCAGCCTAATCCAACCAGGGAAACAATTAAAAGGGTTAAACTTGATTATGATTAAAAAGATTAAGCTTGATTACTCTCCTTCTCATTGATTATTCCTATTAATGTGAAAAAGAATTATAATGTTACTAATAAAAATGATCATTCCTACTAAAGAAGGAAACCCAAAAAGTTTAAAGTTCAACTATTGGCCAAGCAAGCAGCCTTTGGGACCATAGGCGATCCATGCAGCCACATGGGCAGCGTGCTTCCGCACGGCGGCTTTGTCGAAGTGGTCTGCTCTCTGCGAGTACCGGCTGATCCTTCGTCTCTAGGGGTTTAGGGTTTAGGGTTTAGGGTTTAGGCTGATCCTTCGTCTCCGCATGTGTGCGGCATGTGAATGTGTTTTCCCAGGCCCCTGGGAGGATCCAAATATAGAGCCCCAAAATAGTACCCTGTACTATTCTTGGGTCATTCTTAGGAACTCTTAAGGGGATCTAATTTTTGGATCCTCCCAGGGGTCTGGGTTCTTGTAGTGAACGTAGTCACCCCCTGTGTGCCTTTGTTGCTATCTCGCCCCGCAACCTGCAGTCAAGCATCCCCTAAAGCCCAAAGCCTAAACCCTAAACCCTAAACCCTAAACCCTAAAGCCTAAACCCTAAACCTTAAACCCTAGGAAGCCAAGCATCACCAGCGACTTGTGAGCATGACGATGGTATTTGCGAGCGTGCACACGGAGCCGGCGGCTTTGAGACAGGGCCATGGCTGGGTTTAGGGTTTAGGGCTTAGGGCTTAGGGCTTAGGGCTTAGGGTTTAGGGTTTAGGGTTTAGGGTTAAGGGTTTAGGGGTTACTGGTTAGGCCCGAAGCACTATACCCGGACCCTGGAAGGATCCAAAAAGCAGATCCCCTTAAGGGTTCCTAATGGCTCAATAGTAGTATAGGGTACTATTCGGGGGTTCTAACATTTTTGGATCCCCCCAGGAGTTTGGGTATTCGACCGTGCTGGATGCACTTCAGCGCTTGCAAGCTCTGAGTCTCTGAACCCCACGCACTCTGACATGTACATCTGCGTGCCCTCTATCCACTGCACCGACAGCCCATGGCGCTACTGAGGTCTGTAAGTTTACGACAACTTCCAGAACACCCGAAGATCCCAAGGTCCAGCGCAGACGCGGAGAACAGGCCCTAAACATTTTGTTTTTTTTATTATATATATATATATATATTTTATTTTATTTTTTTTTTTTTTTTTTTTTGGGGGGGGGGGGGGGGCGCAGCCCTAAACCCTTGTCTGGTGCGAAACCTATGCCCTGGACCCCAAAGAGCCCTCGGTCCCCGAACCCTACTTATTAGCCTAATTCTAGGCCTATACCCTTTGTTTTGAGAAACCTACCTAACCCTAAACCCTAAACCCTAAACCCTAAACCCTCTACTCTTGCGAAAGCCTTCAGGCAGTTGGAGACCACCATCGCATGGAGTCCGAAGCGCTTCACTCCAAGGTCTTGGCCTGCTAGGGTTTAGGGTTTAGGGTTTAGGTTTTAGGGTTTAGGGTTTAGGGTTTAGGGTTTAGGGTTTAGGGTTTAGGGTTTAGTATTTAGGGTTTAGGGTTTTGAGCCCCTTTTTGGGGAGGCGAGCTTTGGCCGGGGCACATTTCTTGTAGCCGGCGAAGAGCTGGTCCAAGGTGGTGCCAAACTTGGCCTCCTTTGGGTCCTGAGACGCTCGGGCTCTCACCTCCTAAGCCCTAAACCCTAAAACCCTAGACCCTAAACCCTAAACCCTAAACCCCAAACCCAAACCCTAAACCCTTTTGCATCCGGGCCTCAACCCTAAACCCTCAACCGGTGCAGGGTTGATGGGCTTACAGGGTCTGTAGTATGTAGGGCTTACAGTGCTTGTTGCGCTTGTCGGCTATATGGGAGTTTAGAGGCTTTAGGGTTTAGAGGTTTGGATGCTCCCCCTTGGACTAACAGTCTTTAATAGGGAGTATAATTGGGGGGGGGGGACCAGAATGACTATTAAGGACGGTTAGCACAAGGGGGAAGATCCCAATTTAGAGGGTGTATAGGATGTTGTTGCCACCCGTCATAACGGGGGGCTTAAGGTTGAGGAAGGTGCAAAACGCCCAGAAACCCTGAATTCTGTCGCGGATAAGGCTGCTACTTCTCAAGTGCACGTATTACCCCGACACCCTGTCAAGCAGACTCCCCAAGATCCCAGAAAAAAATGCATGCCCCCTGTCCCAACCACAAACGGACACGCTGCACCTTCCCTAAACCCTCCTAAACCCTAAGCCCTATAAGCCCTATAAGCCCCATAAGCCCTACAAGCCCCATAAGCCCTAAGCCCTAAACCCTAAACCAGCACCAGTGGCCCCAATCAGCACGTTGCCCGTGCGGGTTGGCCCGGGATTGTAGCGAAAGCCTCGTTCAATCTTCATGGGTTTCCCTACTATCCCCCTTTATATGACCCCCTAGGTTAAATACCCTTAATTCGGCTTAACTTTCCCTGAATAGCCTTCATTGGGGGGGAACCTAGCGGGGGTAGTAACCCATGAAATCTGCAGGTTCAACCAACTTGTTTTGCAAGGGCTCTATAGGGCTTTTGTTCGAGCTTTCAAGGGCCTTCAACGGGGTGTAGGGGTTCAAGGGCTTCCGAGAGGGGTTGATGGGGTCTATAGGACTTAGGATCCAGGTTTTTTGGGCCCGAGGTTTGAAAGCCGGGAATTCCATCATCGCCTTGGAGGCTTTGCTTGAGGGCTGCGCGGAACTTCCTAGCAGGCTGAGACCCCAAAATCCTAGAAATCCAAAAGCCCTCTGAGACTAAATGACTTGGGTACGGGCTTCGACTACATAGGGACTATGTAAGGAATATAGGGGGCTATATATGGGCCATATTGGGGAATAAGATTAAGGGTCCCTTCTAGGGGGCCCTCCTCATACCCTAAACCCTAAACCCTAAACCCTAAACCCTAAAACCCTAAACCCTAAACCCTAAACCCTAAACCCTAAACCCTAAACCCTAAACCCTAAACCTTAAACCCTAAACCCTAACCCCCCTTTTGGCCCTTCAGAAGCTGTAGGGCAGCGACTCACCAGCTCTGGCAGGCCATCTTCGCTGTGCAGGAAGTCCACGTGGGAGATGTCATCCAGGTTCACGATGGCGCCCAGCTCCTGCTTCTTCACAACGGGTTTAGGGTTTAGGGTTTAGGCGCCCAGCTCCTGCTTCTGCATAGCGTCGAGAACTGTGCCCCTTTAGGGGCTAGGAACCCAAAACAAACGTCCATGCTAAACCCTTAAACCCTAAATCCTAAACCCCTACACCCTATTGTGTGAAACCCAATTCCCCCCCCTCCCTCCCCCCCCTCCCAAAAAAAAAAAAAACACTTCGAACATCCCCCACCTTGATCCTAGTAAAAAAGAAGGAACGCAAACAAGATGCTCAAACAAAGGCACATTGATTCAAATGTGCTTTCTTAGTATGTGCTTGCAACTGGGGTTGGGCACGCCAGGGATGAGCGAGGAGTAGACCGGGCGAGGAGAAGAGTTGAGATTAAAATCCCGCCCTAAACCCTAAACCCTAAAGCCTAAACCCTAAAACCTAAATCCTAAACCCAAATAATGTAAAAAAAAAAACATGAATTCTTACGGCTGATCCCGGTGTCTCCTTTGCTTTCTTGAACTCCTTGAGAGGCGTGTTGTTGCTCGTAAACATGATCTCGTCGCCTGCTTGTTCTAAGGTTAGTTTAGGGTTTAGGGTTCAGGGTTTAGGGAAGTTTAGGGTTTAGGGTTTAGGCTTTAGGGTTTAGGGTTTAGGGCGGACCCTCAGTATGGGCTCTCACTATGTATAGTGTAGAATGCGGCTTGTATATCTATATATATATATATATATATTATAAGTACTAAACAACTATAAAAAGGTGTATATATATACATATATATATATATGTATCAGGCTATTTGTGTCTGGGGGCTGGGAGATGGTCTTTGGGGTTCAGGGCTTAGGGTGTAAGATCCAAGCCAGCTGCTGGTGACGGGCAATCTGGTATCGCTACTATGCTAGCAAAGCTTCTTTTGATCTCCGCCATTCGAAGCTCACATGAACGACAAGCTGTCTGCGGATGTGTGCAGTAGTTGCGAGGTCTTCGTCAGTCTGGTGTTCGGAACCAGCTGTTCCCAACATAAGGGCATGCTCGGGCGATTTTACATTGTACTCAGATGGTGCTTGCAAGTGCTTGCATATTTAGGGTTTAGGGTTTAGGGTTTAGGGTTTAGGGTTACAACAACTAAATCGGCGAAGCCTTGATTTTTTCAGGTCCTGTTGGGCTGCGCGCCTGTGAGGCCCATGCGCTCGGAAAGGACCAGTTCCTGGAACACTTCTGGGAACCATTCTTAAGAGAGGCCTTCTGCATGTGAAGTGGGGTTTGGGTTTAGGGTTTAGGGTTTAGGGTTTAGGGTTTAGGGTTTAGGGTTTAGGGTTTAGGGTTTGGGGTTTAGGGTTTAGGGTTTAGGGCTTAGGGTTTAGGGTTTAGGGAATAGGGTATAGGGATTAGGGTTTAGCAATCTTATGGTTCTGACGCATCGGTTTGTCCCATAGCGGCTTATGCTTTTCCTGGGGATGTATATAAGGTTTAGGGTCAGCCCAACTTCGCTTGCTTAGGGTGCGCCATATGGTGCCGGCCTAGGTCAGCCGAAAGCTACCCTAAACCCTAAGCCCCAAACCCTACATTCTAAACCCTAAACCCTAAACCCTACAAGCCTTAAACTGCGGACAGCTGGCGACCTGGCGGGATTCAAGTGCGATATCGGAGAAGAAAAACCCTCAACCCTAAACCCTAAACCCTGGAGATCCAAGACTCCGTCACAGACGAGCAGTCCGCACCGCAGCCCTCTTCCTTCAAAATCTGCCTGGGCTTGGGAGAGGGTGGGAAGTCGGGTTTAGGGTTAGGGTTTAGGGTTTAGGGTTTAGGGTTTAGGGTTTAGGGTTTAGGGTTTAGGGTTTAGGGTTTAGGTTTTTAGGTTTTAGGTTTTAGGTTTAGGGTTTAGGCCTTAGGGTTTAGGGTTTAGGGTTTAGGGCCCGAAATCCTCGATGGCGCGCCGCCCCACCCCAAAACCTCAACCGTGTCCCCCGGTTGTAAGTTTAGGTAGGGTTTAGGGTAAGGGAGCAGGTACCAACAGCTCTATTTGAGAGGGGCTGTGGGTACTTCCAAAATTGGATTCGGTACTGCAAGTGTGTTTATGGGGCTTGCGGCTTGCTTGCAAGTTGGCAGCTGGGCAGGATTAGAGCTTGATGCCAGTAATTGTCTCTGAGCTTGTAGGATTTGTTCTAAGGGGTTCTGGTCATGTAGAGATTAACAATAAGGCCCAGAGAACTTCAAAGCTTCGCTTCTTCCAACCCGACCCCTGACAACCCAAAGCAAACGCGCGAGGCAGCTGCATGATGTGCGGGTTCGGTGTAGCTTTCACGGCGAAGTGGTTCCTGGGTTGGGCTCTGTTTGTGTACCGAGAAGTCCCTTTTGGCAGGGTTCGAGGGTTTTAGGGCTTTAGGGACGTTTATGGTTGCAGTTTGTTTTTTTGGTTTTAGGGCTTTAGGACTCGAGGGTTTCAGGGTGCAAGGGTCTCAGGGGCGAAGGTGGGCGGGTGGATCCTATCCCGACATCGTGCACCCAGCGTTGAGGGTTTATAAGGTTTGGAAGCTTTAGAGTTTAAGGCTTTGGAGTCGCGGGCTTGGGGTTTAGGGTTTTGGGGGGTGCTTTGGCCACCGGT